AAAGTAAGTAATAAGTAGTGTGTGTGTGTGTGTGTGTGTGTGTGTGTGTGTGTGTGTGTGTGTGTGTGTGTGTGTGTGTGTGTGTGTGTGTGTGTGTGTGTGTGTGTGTGTGTGTACACAAAAAATGATTTATTAATACCATAGACTTACTATAATTTATGAAGCTTAGTAACTAAGCTGTATTTGGGTCTAATGAAATAGGAAATTGAGCAAACTAAGGACACAACCTACCTCCATGAAATTAGTTGGAAAGAATGGGATGGTATTCTAACACATGAAAATGGCTGAGAAATGGGGGACATTCTGAGCTTTCAAGTGGTTATTCACATGTCACATATTGAAGTAACTATATATATAAGGGACCTTTTCCAAATATGGAAAGGTGAGCGGGGCCACTGTGTTTGATTAAGTACATGAGTGATCTTGGCAAATAGAATGGATACGAGGTTCTTATTATACATTCTAGCTTGTCAATATCAGTAGTTTGAATTCCTAATTTATACAAAACTAGACTTAGTATTTTGACAAACATCTAATTTGAACAAGTGCTGCATTCAACATACCACATGACAAAAAAAATCAATATTTAACTTAATATTTACTTAATTAAATATGAAATACTAAAATTTGAATTATAATCTACAGTTTGATACCAAACTTATTCACATAAATTCATGAAATATTAATTCAATAAAATTTTCAATGCAAGTCAACAAACATAACATCACCTTTGACCCATCTGGAGAAAGTTAAGGCTAATTAGCCAGATTTGTTTAAATCTACATCATTCAAATAGAAATATTTTTTCAACCACTCTCTTTCAGAGTAATATTCATTATGTAGAACTACATCTAGGGTTCTAGATGTATAAACTTACCATGCAGTTACAAGTTTATATCACAAACTTTGTATTTCTAAAAAGCAATGATACTATGGTTGAAACAAAAAGCTTGAGTTTGTACATCATTGTGAGAACATTTTCATGTAAGAAAAAGTTTAGGGGACTAATAAGTAACTTATTTGTGTGTTTGCTGAGAAAATTGACATATTAGCACCCAGTATAATTAGTGTTTCAGAATATGGTTGAGATAGTTTCACTTAAAATACACAATAAGAGTACAAACAAAATCAGCTTCAGATGTAAAGAAGTTTAAGTATAATCAATTATCAAATTTTAATCAACTTTAAATTATCTGGAAAGTGTTATAAAATTGTTTATTGCAATTTCATTTCATCTTTGTGAAGGATTGGTGAAGGTTAGTTTAAAAACCACTTAAATTTCTAGTGATAAGGCTTTAAAAGACACTAAAATTTTATTGTAAGCAAAGGATTTAAACAAAACAAACACACAAACACACACACACACACACACAAAATCATGTCAACTTTGTGATTAACCAAGTGGAAAAAAAGTACTACAAAGAAACAAATTGAGACAAAAAAAATTTAAAGACATGCTTCAAAACTAGTAAAACATTCACGTAACACTAACTTCTATTGTAAAGCTTAAATGTCATGTATATAAAAAATAAATACTCACAGATTTTGCTACACTAAAGAAACTTTTGGTTTCTCCAGTAACAATATTTGCTGATCCTGAAAAATTAAATACTTATTTAATTGTAAAGTAAAACAAAAAAATTACTATTGAGATAACAAAAAAAAAGTCACAGAACTGGCTAGTTATATTACTCAGGACATTACTAATCACAGCTAAAACTGGTAAACTATATCTAAGGAAAAACTGGTGTTAGTAAATAATTTTAACAACTTAAGTAAAAGTAAAGAAGAATATGCCATGTCACTTATATTACGTATAATATCTAGTGCCAGTGATGCACTGCGTCTTATACCAGAACTTCAGGTCAGCTGGGATACAAAAGACAGTAATTGGGTCACTGTTATGATGTCAACTAATTGATTACAATTCAGTTAATTTTATTTATATCATTCACAAAATAATGTGCTTAAACAAACTTGTAAATTTTTGGAAAAAAAATTGTGCAATTGTTTGTTTATGGCAAAGTTAATAAGCTGTTTGCTGCTGTCCCCAATTTTGAACTACTGACCACTGGGAAAGCAACTGGTTGGCAGTACTCGCAGCCAAATCTTGAGCTACTCTTTACCAACAAATAGTGGGACTGATTGTTAAATAACACCCCCACAGCTGAAAAGGAGAGCATGTTTGGTGCTGGATTTA